TTCGTTACATTGCTGGGACGTTGAACTTTGGCATTTGGTACAGTCAGAAAAAATTTTTTAGACTCGTTGGCTTCACCGATAGTGATTGGGCTGTGTGCATTGACGATCGGAAAAGTGTGTCTGGTAATATATTTAATCTCAGTTCTGGAGCAATAACATGGAGCTCTAAGAAACAAGACACGGTAGCTTTATCATCGTGTGAAGCAAAATATTCAGCAGCAACTTCGGCAACAAAGCAAGCTTTGTGGATTCGAAAACTTCTTACAGATTTGGATCATAAGCAGAAGGAGGCAACACAAATTTTCGCATTTGCAATTGCCAAAATCCAGCTTTCCATGGGAGGACAAAACATATTGACGTGCAGCATCACTTCATTCGACAACTTGTAGCAAATGGAACAATTGTAGTGACGTTTTGTGGAACCAACGAGCAAGTAGCATATATCTTCACCAAATCGCTTTCTCAAGCCAAACATGATTATTTCAGGATCGTATGGGAGTGACAAGTTTTGAAGCAAAGGGTAGTGTTAATTAAGTGCTTCAAATTATTATTGTTATTAAATAAATATATGTGCATATTATTAGGAGTTGCAACCGTTGGTTTAAAATTTGAATTTCTAATATTTAGTAATTATTGTATCAGATTTATTGTATCATATTTTTTTAGCAGAAATAAAATATTCTCCTTTGTTCTTGTTCGTATTTCTTTGCTGCGCATTTCCTTTTCCTGTTCTACTAACATGGATGACCAAAGAACAACAATGGAGTGGTCCTTCAAAAGATTTTGAGGTAATTGTTAAATATCTTTTTAATTGATATAAAATATGAAATATTGTGTTAATTACAAACTTTCCAACTTGAAGCCAGTCCTATAGTTTATATATTTATTGCATGTTTATTATTGTTGTTGTTGTTGTTTATAGACTTTTATTTATTTATTTAAGTTATATAGATGTTTATTTTTTATATAAAATATTATGTATGTTAATATATACATATATTTTTTAGTATTTTTTTTTTTTTGTAGATTCAATATATTTTTATACATTTAACATAATTTTTTATATAAGTTTTCAAGTAAAATTTCATTTATTTTGACAGGATGATCTTCAAATATCAGACGATCAAGAAATCAACATAGAGAAAATTTGGGTAAAGAGAGGAAGATGATCAAAACTTGGTTCTGAAAGTAAGCGCATAATGATAACACGTAAAGTTTCTCAATCCAGCAATTCGAAGCCAGGTTCAGAGGAGAACAAAGGAACAATCAGACATTTAGATGGAAGGAGCAATGCGCAGGACTTCAAGTTAAGAACGATGAAATAGAAGAAAGAATTCAAGCACTATCAGAGAAGTAGTGGCAAGAGTTAGCATCACAATTTCAAGATCAAGTGGAAGTTCAAAATAAGAAATTTCAAGATTTGATTAATTTATTTTTACAGAGGTCTTAATTGATTAGAATGATGTCCTTGAGATTGTTAGATTTTTATTTATTTATATTTATTGAATTGACTAATTGTATTTATAATTTTTTTTTTCTGTAGTATTTTTGCATTAGTGATTTGAATATTATGTTTAAAATTTTGATTTTATGCCGTGGTGAATTTTTAAAGCATTGTGTATAAAATTTAAAATTTTATGCTAATATTTTTAAAATTATTTTTGCATTCAATTAATAGTTATGATATTTTAGTTTTAGAATTTAAATATTATATCATGATTTTGTTCTTGCAGATATTATTTATGTGAAAAATTACATAACAAATTTAATTTATATAATTTTCTTTTTTTCTTTTTTGTAGCAAAATTTATTACAATGAATCATGATAATTTATGTGACAAAATATTGTAAATTTGATTTATAAAATTAATTGTGACAAAATTCATAGAAAACATATTTTGTGGCAACTAATATGACATAATTTTATAGAAAATTATGTTGCAAATTTTTGTGGCAGTTTATGTAACCAAATTAGCTACAGCACTTATAGCCACTAAATACTTTGTTGTGGCTAATTTTTATAACAAAATAATTTGTCATATATATTTTTTAATTTTTCCGTATCCAATTCAGGCCTAAGGATGGTTGTAGGAACTTTATTGTTGTTCATCTGAACGAGTTCAATCTGATCACTACACAATTGCGGTCGGCAAATCTTGAATTTGATTTAAAAAACAAAGTTGTAATCCTGCTGTCTTTGCCGGATAGTTGGGATTCGGTAATAACATCCTTGAGTGCGGCTTTTTCGGGGAAGAAGAAGATGAAGTTTGATGCAGTCAGAGATCTAATCTTGAGCGAGGGGATCCAGAGAAATTCAGATAAGAAAATTGAATTTGAATCTAGATATTCCCTTAGTGCCGAAAATAGAGGTATATCTGAGGAGAAAGAAAATTATCAAGATTAAAAATGGTCAAAGTTATAGTTAAAAAACAAGGACAAGAAGGTTGCAAGTCAATTGGTATGTTGGAACTACAACAAAAATGGGCACTTGAAACGATAGTGCAGGGCGCCCAAGGAAGGATCAGGATTCGGCGAACACAGCGGATGAGATATCCGATGCGCTGATTCTGAGCGTCAGTAGTCCAATAGAGCTATGGTACTTGGACTCAGGAGCGTCATTCTATTCATGCAGGTTGTGTTCTTTTGTGGGTTTTATCACAAATTTTTATTATTCGGATTCTTTTTTTCCTAAAAAATATCAAATCAAACATTTACTTTTCCTTTTTTATATTATATTAAAAATCTATTTCACATTCAAAATATCACATCAATATCTATTTATATCACATCAAACAACTATTCAAATTCAACTTTTTACTATTCAATAATCCAAACCCAAAACTCCAAACTCACAAATGAACACAACCGCAGTGATTAAGGAATCATGAAATCCTATACTCCAAGTAATTTTGGTGTTGTCTATTTTACGTATGATGAGCCACTGAAAATTGTAAATAAGGGGATAGTTTGAATCAAAACACCGAATAGTGGCGAGTGGAGACTAAATGATGTAAGGCATGTCCCAGGTCTAAAACAGAATCTTATTTCGTAGGACAATTAGATATGGCAGGTTACTTGACAATTTTTCTAACTAAATCGTGGAAAGTAACTAAGTGATTCATTATGGTGGCTCAAGGGAGAAAAGATGACACTTTTTACATGACGAACATCACGAGAGACGGAATTGGTTCCGTGGACATAAATAAGTATGCAAATTTATGGTATTCTCGTCTTGGAACATGAGCGAGAAAAGGATAAATGAGGTTTTTTTAAAGGGAAAATTATCAGGTCTCAAGTCCATCGATATTGGAGTATGCGAGGATTAGTTATTTGGGAAGTAGAGAAAGGTTTCATTCTCAAAAGGTAGGAGAGATCTGAATAAGAAGTAGAATTTGGTCCATACTAATTTGTGGGGACCAGCTCCTGTATCGTCTCTTACAGGCTCACAATACTACATCACGTTCATTGACGACGCTACAAAGAGTATACGAGAACTGGTTATTTGGAAAGTAATGAGTTGATTTATGAGCAATCTTGAAAGACAATCTAAGGTGGTAGAACTGGTTTCTACCTCAATTGTCCTCAATGAGTAAAGAAAGAGACTTGCACTGTCATTGTCGATGAAGTAAAATGTTGAAGTGGAATATGCAATCAATCTTCAAATAAATATTGTTGGGATATGATAGTCTTATTATAACCTAAAATCTAGGGATATGATTTAGATATATGATTTAGATATTATTGGAATAGGTTTAGGCTATAAATCTATATGTATTCTAACTTAAATATATACATGGCGTATTCCATAGTAAAATGATTGGTTTGGCAGCGCCCTAAACGTAGATCATTCTAATCAAATTGGATAATCAAATTCTTATATTTTTGTATCATTTCCTTAATTTCCTAAATTTTCCGCAACAAAATATTAGGCTAAATATGATTGGACTTTGTTTATTAATTAACATTGAGTTAATAAACAATTTTATTTTATTTTATTAAAATTTTTATTTTCAGCTTTGTTATTTTATTTCCTTCAAAAATATCAATATATATATATATAAGCTACATGCATAAATTTCTTTCTCAACTTGCGTCTCCTCTAGAGTCGACAATGGGTTAATTCGTGTCGGGTTGAATTTTTTAAACAAGTAAAATGACTTAATTTTTAACTCGACATGTTTATTGTCGTGTTGGGTTCGTATTGACCTGTATATAAAAGTAGGTCGAAATTCTTGACGTAAACCAATTATATCATGTCGGATTTTTCGTGTCATATTATATAATAAAATTATTTTACATATATAATAAATTAATAAATTGATATTAATATATTATAATTAGATTGTTGTGTCGGATTCAAGTTGAGGGCTTCAATCCTGATTCTGACATGTTTATTAGTGTATCGAATTTGCGTTGACCCATACACATGATTGAATCGAAATCCTTGACTTCAATTTTCTCTTGTCGGATTTAGTTTTTGTTGGCTCTAGTTTATTTTCTATGAAACAACTATTTATAAGTACGATTTAGATGGGAAAAAATAATAATGAAGAATTTTTATAAAGCTGGGTATATATAGATTGGCACGAGCTTTTAGTTAAGTTGAGGCAAAAATGAAAAGAAACAACTGATTCCATAAATAGAAGAAACAAATGGCCAATATTTGAATTCCCTTCCCTGTAATATCGGGTTTATATATCCTCTTTCTTATGATAATTTATTTTTGTTTTCTTCTGTTCATCAGTGACAAATCAAGATTCAGTTTTGTTATATTAATTACACAACCCGTTTGAGGAACAAGAAATGCATTCGAAGAGGGTTTCAAACAGACATATCCCACTCTGCATTAATAAGATCCATGTCGATCATGTCATGGCCTGATCCAAAACAATAATAAATAGAGTTAGACATTCTATCGATCGATCGATCAATCATTAATATCATTAGAAAAACAAAAAAACCAAAAAAAAAAGGTGTAGTGATTATATATATTTGATCTGATGGCGTATAAGGTCGATCATGAGTATGATTATCTCTTCAAGATTGTCCTGATCGGAGACTCCGGAGTCGGAAAATCCAACATTTTGTCAAGATTCACGAGGAACGAGTTCCTTCTAGAGTCCAAATCCACCATTGGTGTCGAATTCGCCACCAGGACACTCCAGGTTTAATTTCCTCTTTATTATCTCATCTAATCTTAATTTTAATTTCAATAACCATTCTGTCCAATTTTATTTTTTGTTTTATTATAAGATATCATCATATCATCGTCAATGGCCTAATAATGGAATAATTAACATAGAAATATTTTATAACGATGATCTGGTGTGTTCTTCTGGTGTCTTTTTTTTTTTTTTTTTGGTGAAATAGATTTTTTTTGATGTTCTTTATAGATAATAAATATATTTTGATTGTACATGATAAGATTTTATAGTAAAAAAAAAATGAAGAACAACCATGTCATTTTTTATCTTTCAATTTAAAACATATATAAGGGAGTTCCATCGATCCCACACCCCAGACCATGATATTGTCTTCTTAGGTCATCTTACTATAGATTATTTTCGTTGCATAATGATATCATTTTATTTAGTTTAATCACTTATTTAATTTAAATAGTTATAATTAGCGTAAGTTAAAAGTCTAATACTCCCTCCGTCCCACATACCATGTCCAAGTTGCCATTTCTGTCCGTCCCACATTCCATGTCACTTTCATTTTTTGGAAAATAATTACACACTTTAATCTCATTTTAAATTTTTTAATTATTTTTTTTAAAATTTTAATTAAACTAATTAGTTATTTTAATATTAATTTATAATTATTTATATTATAGGATAATTATTTTTATTAATACATTCTTAATTATCTACTAATTTCACTTCTGCTAAAACACCGTATCTACAGTGTAACAGATGAGGGGGTATATAGTAATATTATAATTTAGGATAATTAATCGTTCTTCAGTTAATAGTATTAAATTACTTGAAGCTAACGTTTGTGCTAAAAAATTATTTTAACATTGATACTTATAAAAGCATGTAAATCAAGGATATTATTGGTTTGTTGGTAAAATAAATTAAAATAATAATAAAGAATAATTGGTAAATAAAATGAAAAAATAAAATGCTAAAAGAACAAACTCCATAGTATGTTTATACAAATAGATTGTACTATTTAATGAAACATATATTGTATTATTCATTAATTCTTTTATACTAAATTATCAAAAGTAAATACTTATTTCTATATAATATATTAAAAACTGGGATATTTTTGTCATTTTATTTTATTTTTTTGCCTTTAGATTTGAATAGTATTTTTGATAGTATGTTGGATATAATGTTTTGTAAAAAAAAGGTATAATATATTTTTATAAAAAATAGCAAAAGGGTGAATAGTATAATTTTTTTTAAAAAAAGAAAATGCTAACCAAACATGCACACTTTTAATTTCCATTCAAAAGATCATATAAAAATATTTTTTTACATCACATCGAATATTAATTTAATTTTAATTTTAACTATCTCCAAACTTTCAACGAAAATACAAACATTAAAGGAACACTAAAAGTGTTTACCAGTCCATTAGTGGTAAAGATCCATCCAATTAATATTTTGTTACTCCATTATATATTGTAATAACTAAAACAAAACACTTATGAATTCAAAGGTGGAAGGGAAGACCGTAAAGGCCCAAATATGGGACACTGCCGGGCAAGAACGGTACCGGGCCATCACGAGTGCTTACTACCGCGGCGCGGTCGGGGCAATGGTTGTCTACGACATTACAAAGCGCCAGACATACGAGAACGTGGCACGGTGGCTAAAAGAGCTTCGGGATCACGCGGATTCCAACATTGTCATCATGCTCGTGGGGAACAAATCTGACCTCAGCCATCTCCGGGGAGTGCCCGAGCGCGAAACCCATCAATTTGCCGAGAAAGAGGGCATTTCCTTCCTCGAGACATCGGCCCTTGAGGCCCATAACATTGAAAAGGCTTTCCAAACCATTTTATACGATATATATCAAATTGTGAGCCGAAAGGCATTGGCGGCGCAAGAAGCCGGCGGCCCGACTCCCGGCCACGGCACCACCATTGCGGTGGTCGGAGATCCAACCAATGCCAACAAGAGCACTTGCTGTTCAAATTAGTTTGAAGTAGATTCAAGAATGAGTATCTTCTAATATAGTATTAGAAGATTTCGAGTATACTAAATGTTTTTTTGTGATGTTAGAATTGTTTATATAGGGTTTGTTGTTTTAAGTTTTAGACTGATTTTTTTAGTACTTAATGTTTAATTTTTTTATTTTTCCAAAAATATCACATTTATTTCATAAATATAATTTTTATATAAGAATTACCTTAAAAAACCATTTAAAGTTAAATATAAAAATAAAAACACAAAAATGACATGCCATTATAAAATTAATACTCTTTTTTGCAGTGTATTAAGTTCGACCGAAGGTTTACCCAGTGCGCACTTTCGAGTAACGGTTGCGGATTCCCACGTCATCAAAAAAATAAATAAATAAATAAGATTGATACTCTTGAGTGAAGCAACTTTATATTTATGCAACATGAATATTAATAGGGCCTAGTGTTTGATGTAAATGAGATTTATAGGCTTTAATAACAACCATTTATAATATGGATTATGTTTTAATATTCGTCACTCCTTGAATATAACATGGCGGCGGTCTTGCCGAGAGCAAGTAATGTATACAAGACAGTACATTAGGGTGTGTTTGGTTTGAGGATTGAATTTAAATTTAGCTATTCATCCAATTTTTTTCTTCCAAAAATATTAAATCAAACACCTATTTTTTTTATATTATACTAAAAATCAATTTTACATTAAAAAAATATCACATCAACACCTATTTATATCACATCATACAATTATTCAAATTCAAAATTTTTACTATTCAAATCCCAATTCAAAATCCAAACTCCCAAACAAACACTCTCCTAGATATAAATTTATAATACATATATAAAATAAATAGAACTAACAGTAGATATTAATACTATTTTCGTCCGGCTCTAACGGTTACATTTACCTTTTTTTTGTGTGTTGATATTTGAATATTAATTATTATATCAAACTATAGTACAAAGAAATAAAAAATAAAAAAATATTTTTATTAGTGTTTTATAATAATGATATAATGACATTTGTACAAAATATTATACAAATATAAGAATATTTTTATTGTTAAATATAATGACGCAAAAAGTAAATATAGCTTTTAGAGGCGAACGGAAAAAGTAATTTATATTTATAGCATTTTCATGTGATGATTGAACCAATAAACATGATATAGCTAAATCTCCAATCACCACCCTAATCGAAGCAATATGACATATTACCTTCGTCTAATTTATAAGTATGCATTTATTTTTAGAGATCTTGTTATCATTGCTGGATAAGAGGTTTGTACTCCTTGCCATTTCGTAGTTAAGCAAAAAGTAACTCATTATTTGATAAGCACTTACCTTAGCATGCGGGATTCATCTTCTCTTGCGAGACTTGTTAAAGAGTTCTTTATCTATAAGTATCCCGATATTGATAACTTTTTGAAGTTGATTGCCACCGTCGGTTGTAGAGTTTAAAAAATAATACTACTTCCGTCCTACATACCGTGTCTGCTACCACACGGTATTTTAGGAGGGGTGTAATTAGTAGATAATTAATAATGTATTAGTTAAAATAATTATCCTATAATATAAATAATTATAAATTAAGATTAAGATAACTAATTAGTTTAATTAAAATTTTAAAAAAAAGTAAAATTAAAAAGTTTAAAATGAGATTAAAGTGTGTAATCATTTTTCAAAAAACGAAAGTGACATGGTATGTGGGACGGACAGAAACGGCAACGTGGACGTGGTATGTGGGACGAAGGGAATAATATTTAAATTGTAGTAGGTTGTTAATACTAGTATAAAAATAAGGCTAAATTGCACAAAATCTACTTGTGATTTCGTGAAATTGCACTAAATCTCTCATACTTCTAAAACTGCGTCAAACTTCTTCGTAGTTTCATAAACTTTGCGTCTAACCCCCTCAGCGGTCCTTATTTAACGGTATTTGACCTAAATGCGCTCAAACTGCGAATAAATATTAGAATCTCAATTTCTAAACCCCTAAAATTACAAATATATTTATTTTTTATATATTTAGCCTAAAAAAATAGTAAAAATAAACTCTTAAAACCTGAGAAAAATAACTATTTTTTAGTATATTTACTATTTTTTAGGGTAAATATAAAAATATATATATATTTGTAATTTTAGTGGTTTATAAATTGAAATTCTAAAATTTATTCGCAGTTTGAGCGCATTTAGATTAAATATTGTTAAATAAAGACCACTGAGGAGGCTAGACGCAAAGTTTATGAAACCACGAGGGAACTTGACGCGGTTTTCGAAATATGGAAGATTTTGTGCAATTTCATAAAATCACGGGTGGATTTTGTACAATTTAGCCTAAAAATAATTTTACCCTTGTTTTTTTTTCGTAAAAAATGTAATAATGTGATTGTAAAATAAGGATATTTGTAGAAAAATATGAAGTATTTTTAAATTATGTTTATGAAATAGAAATAAATATATTTTATGAGTGGGTGAAAATATGTATATCTCGTGAGTGAGCGAAAGACGTATATCTATCGATTGTATAGTATTTACTAGTTAATATTTCCGCATTACCAAAAAATTAGATCTTTTGTGAAAAAATTATTGAGAAAAAAAAGGAATTGAAAGTCTAAACCTATGACCTCTCGGTCACAAGCCCAAGCCCAACACCACCAGACCATCCATTACTCTACGTTATATTATTGTATGACTTAACGTTGCATCACAATTAATAAAAAGTGTCACAGTGTCGACTACAATACTATTTACTGCATTTTCCGTAATAAAAAAATTAATAATAGTAAATTAAAATTAAAATTCATGTTGCATCTTATCGTATATTTATTGTAAATTTTGTTTCACCGCATACTTTAGATTTTATTTATTTTCTTTTAATATTTTGGGTATGGATTCCACAAATTTGAAATAATTGACTATGTTTAATTACTGAAGTTTTTTATTTAAGAATTTCTTTTTGGTATGAGTCTCGAGTACTAAACTATCTGTGCCAAATTTTTCTCTATTCTCCTATTTTATCCAATAAGATGATTACATTTGTAACAATAAATAGGAGAAAAAATATATATAGTAATTAGTTAAATTTAGATATATTTTTTTTGAATTCTATTTTCATTATTTAATCTTGTCATTTTAAATAAAACTTATATCATATTTTAATTTTTATTTAATTTTTATTATAATTAAATTATATATTTTGTATATATATATATTTACAAAATATCATACTCTTTAAAAAAATTAATACAAAGTAAATTCTTACAAAAACAAATATATAGTTAAATTTATTTTTATCTAATATTATAAAAGTCTATGTTTTTATACTATCTTCCACAGTAACAATGTCATTTACTTTTGGCATAAAATTTTTTATATATTAATATTATTTTGTTTATAATACAAATTGATATAAAATGATTTATACCCTTAATAAAATATTTCTGCTAAGAGAAATATTTGGTCCTTAATGATTTATGCAAATCCTAAAATGAAACAAACAAAATAACAGTTATACTAAAATGAGGTATAATTTTATTATGTTATACACATCATACATACGTGTATGCAACTACTCTTGCTACGTTTCATTTTCGTAGATGAAACGTTGTATCATTTGTAGCTTATTATTGTGGACTTATATTTCCTATAAATAGGACTTTACTGTAATGAAAAAATGACACTACACATCAATTCCAATCAATTCATTTACTCTCCCAGATTCCATTTCCCTTTGTTGTGCTTCATATATACATACATTCTTATTAATATATATATATATATAATATACACACTCACGCACACACATCTACATATATATATATTTACTTATCTATTATATATATATTATATACAAAATATAAAATAGTGGTTCGTGGTAGAAATAATTAATATTTCTATTGGCTAATCCTATAATAATATTACAACACGTTATCAGCACGATTATATATATTAATTTTCGCAAGGTAATATTCTATATTTTATCTTTTTATTATGACTAACCTTGCCAAACAAGAATTTCTCCCACTCCTCGTTTCTGGCCAAAATTATATGGCATGGGCTCGCGATGTTAAAATGCATTTGGCATCAATGGGCTTGGAAAATACCATTGCCCGGGATAAAAACTCCCCGAGCCAAGATCGTGCAAAGGCCATGATCTTTTTGTACCATCACATCGATGAGGCACTGAAAATGCAGTATGTCACGCTGGAATCCCCACTCGAATTGTGGGAGAGATTGAAAGAAAGATATGATCATTTGAGGCTGACATTGTTGTCAAGGGCACGAAGCGAATGGCAAAGCCTACAGTTTCAGGACTTTAAAACAGTCCAAGAATATAATTCTGCAATGTTTAAAATAACATCACAGCTACGCCACTGTGGCGAAAATGTATCTGAATCTGATATGATGGAGAAAACTTTCTCCATTTTTCATGCCTCTAACATGGTTTTGCAGCAACAGTATCGCGAAAGGGGCTTCCAGAAATATTATGAGATAATCACCTCTCTTTTGCTGGCCGAACAAAATAATGAATTGCTGTTGAAAAATCACGAATCTCGGCCGACAGGTGCAAATCCATTTCCAGAGGCAAATGCAATACAGCCGGCAAATCGGGTGCGTGGTCTTGGACAAGTCAGAAATCAGCGAATTGATCGCGATCGAAATCAGAATCGCGGACGGGTCCGGGCAAACGCATACAGTCATAATAATTATCAAAACAGGCCCCGATATGTGCCAAATCGGCGTTATAATGACAGAAGGCCGTACAGACCTCAACAGAGGATCAACACCGGGACAAACAGAAATAATGACGAGGAATGCACCCGGTGTGGAATCAAAGGCCATTGGGCCCATGTTTGTCGCACAGCCAGTCACTTGGCTGAACTGTATCGGGCCTCAAAAGAAAGACAGGGAAGGATTGCCTCCGAAACAAATCACGCTACCCACGATGACACATTTGACGATGTGATGAATGAAAATATCACGCACCTGGATGCCG